TCTCTATATATATATATATATATATATATATATGAACACATGTATATATATACGCATGTAGGGATAGAAAGAGAGGGGCGCGAGCGAGTACCGACGCGCGCATCAACGTAACCAGATGTCGTTGCCGTGTCAACTCATGCGCAATGGCAGCGACAATATTATAACAATGCAATGATTGAAATTGTTTATGCATATAGTAAGTTGCGATCGGTGGTAGGTAGTCGCGCGCTTGCGGAAGTATACGCAAGGGGATCGAGTGGTGTGCGCGGCGGTGTGGCTCGAGGTGTCGGTCACATCTGGTTGCGCGCACGAGAAATAGAAAAAAGGAGCAGAGTCGTACCCACGGGAAGGCTAATATAGGGTCGAAAGGAATGCGATGAATCCGCGGGCCCTGCGTTACTCTTTTTTTGGATAACTGCGAGTGCGTGGGTGAGTGTTAAACGGGTTTATTCGCCAGCTTGAGATCGTCCCTAGAGTGGCTGGTGGTGAGAGGTCGCGCTGATATAAGACACGGAAGAAGAGGTGGAAGTGGAGGAGGAAGAGCAGCAGCAGCAACAGCAACAGCAACAGCAACAGCAACAACAGCAACAACAGCAATAGCAGCAACAGCAGCAACAGCAACAGCAAGATGTCGGGCTTCGACGAGAATCCCTTCGGCGAGCCCAATGTTAACGATCCCTTCTCGGTAAGTCACTCGGTCGTACTTCATCGCATCTAAAGCGGCATCGACACCGCCAGCAGCAGCCCCTTTACCTTATCATCTTCCTAACTCACCTTCGACCCCGGTGCTTCTTACCTACGAGCCGCTCGGTTATTCCATCCTCGATCAATTTTCCTTTAATTTTTTTACCAACGAGAGCCAACGGCCTGCACGTACGTACGCCGTAAATGTCGACTTTTTTTCTTTTTTTTTTTTATTTTTTATTTTTTTTTTCTATTCTTTTATTACCCGTGATAATAATTAAGTGCTTTTTAGTATGCATGCTTAGGTGCTGCGATAAGGTAAGGCTAAATTAGCCTTATAAATATAGCTGTGGTGGACTTCCGAGGAGCTGTACACACATGACCTATGGTTTCCTCGATTGTCCTCGATGATTTCGAACTCGTTACATTTGTCTTGAGTGTCTACATTTAAGCTAAATAATGAACGATTACGTGTAATTATAAATACATTAGGGATGCCCTCGTATCGTTCGATAAAATTTCAAGTAAAAATTTGAAATTTTTATGCCATAATAGGTACGTTTTTTGTTTTTTTGCCCAGAAATCTTCAAAATATAGCCACGCTCGATCGAGAAAGGATATTTTTGCACTAATTGCACTGATAAACTACTAGCGAGAAGTTAAAGTTTTTACAAGCTTAGTGCGCATGTGTTTGCCTATGCATGCGCGAATTAGGATATATCGTGTGCTATTGAAAGCGTGAATTAGAGTGCCGATTTTAATCAAATTGTATTTATGATAATAGTCGATAAAATATACAATGCTTAATTTAATTTTATTGGTAATTTTTAAAATGCGCAAGAATTGTTTGTGATAAATGTAATTGCATTTTATTAAATGAATCTTGAAAGAAAACTTCAATATTATTTCACCAGGTAACATATATAATTTTAAATAATATTTTATTTATGTAGTAATTCAATTTTTAATACATTACACGAGGACGATTAACATTATTCTTCGTAACTGTCAATTTTTCAAAAATGAAACTCGAATTATCATTTGAATTTAAATTTTGTAACAAATTAAATAAATACATCTAACGGTTTAAATACAATAAAAAAATTTTAAAATACTTTTGTCTTATATGTTACTGCTTACATTTATCACGAATAATATTGTATGTTTTTTCTGTCATTGTATATGCATTTAAATTAATAAGTATCCATTTTTTAAATATAAATATAGATTATTTATACAGTTTTTTTTTTTACCTTGTAAGAGCACATGGAGAAGGTATTTATCTTCTGTTTCTCCTCTATCGATAATCATGAACATTTTAATTGTAAAATTATACATAATAATAGTACTTGTAAATTATCATACTTTTGAAACATCAGTTTAGTTATTTGGATAGAATTTCATATAAAAAACATTGTGGTATTTTACTGTATAACTACTAACTATTGTTGGTAAAACAATAAAATAATAATATTCTTACAGTTTATTATAGCATTTATATATATATATATATATATATATATATATATATACATATTGTTAAAACATTAAATATTCATATGGCAAGAATATTTTATTTTGTTGGATAATGTAATTAAACGTGTAGTAGTAGTAAATTGATTTTAAATTGTATTATAGAATATTTTATGTGCAAGATTATAATTGCATACTATAATTTATATTTAACCAAAGATGATACTTTATCGTACAAGTAAATTAGAGAGTAAATTATTTTATATTTATATTTTCAGTGTTTTTCACATTTATAATAATTAATTAAGCTGTATTTTTGTAGGATCCAGCAGTGCGTAAAGCAGCGAGTTCAATTCCAAACAGAGGAATGGAAGATTACAATCCATTCGTGGACACGTCGGGAGGTACTGGTACACAAGTCAGAGGTGCCTCCAATCCTCCGATCTATGGGGGCACATCTACAACGTCGGCACAGCAACCTGCAATGCTGCAGACATCGAGTCAGGAAGCTCCACCTCCAAATTATTCTCGTAGTCCACAGCAGACCATTCCCTCGTCTAGCAGTGGCATTTTCTCACCCACAAGCGTATGTTGTTCTATTATTATATTAATTTAAAATAATTATCTATGTCGTGCATTTAGCCAACGTATTAATTGTAATCATAATGTGCCATAATAATATCTTCTGAAACAAACAAGAGATACTTTTTTATTAGAAATTTTCAATTTTCTATATTAAGAATTGTATTTTTCTTTTTTTTTTTCTTCTTTGTATTTCAGCAACCACCGAATAATGAAGCTTGGAAGAGAAACGAACAAGATATGAGCAATACACCTTATTATCGTACGTTTAAGGAGAAACAGTTGTATTTATTAAAGTACAGATAGTCATATCTGTTTTAGTAAAAGTTTTTTTCTTGTAGCAAGGAGAAATAATTGGCCACCATTATCCGATAAATGTTGCGTGCAGCCATGTTTCTATCAAGATATAGACGTTGAAATAAAAACTGATTTTCAAAAAATTGTTCGACAATTGTATTATCTATGGATGTGTAGGTTGATTTAAATTCCACATCTATTAATCGTTCATTTGCTTGTTCATCATCGATCTAATAATTTTACTCAATTACCATGAAATTGTCAAAATAAATCATTGTTAACACATATTTTTATAGTTCATGGATTGGTACTGATACTAAATGTAATTGGTGGCTTCGCTATGATGTTGGCTTATGGTTACTTCACGACCTTTGGACTTGGTATTCTTTATCTCATTCTCTTTACGCCATTTTCATTTATTTGCTGGTTCAGACCAGCATATCAAGCATTCAAGTATGTATACGTACTATCGCTGACATACAATTGAAATTTGAATGTGTGAAATATAAATTAATTATTCTTTTAGAGACGATAGTTCCTTCAACTTTATGGTTTTTTTCTTTGTATTTTTCTTTCAAGTTGTGGTAACGGTTGTCCAAAGCATTGGAATTCCTGGATGCGGAACATGGTAAAAACGCGACATTTAATTAATAAATATTATCTTTGGTTTTGTTCACATAATTTCAATTTTAGCGGCATCATAACGGCAATCTCATCATTTCACTCGACAACTAAAGACATGTTCGTGGGATGCCTTTTACTTCTAATTGCAGGAGCATTTATAGTAGCTGCAACTGGTGATATTGTGCTACTCTCAAAGGTACGGGAAAAAAATTAAAATTAAAAATAAAAAAAAATACTACTATTTGAACAATACGAACGCAATTAATATGCGCGATCCCAATGTTAAACGATGAACAACGTAAGTAAGTTAATTTGTAGCAAAAGCAATGGTATAGTTAAAACAAAATATCCAAAATAATGAATAAAAAAGAAAAATAATTATATTCTCATGCAATTGAAAAATAATTGCATTGTAAATGATTGTTGTTGTGACAAGATTGTTACACATTTACTTAATTACATTGCAAAGTTTTTTATTTCAATTATTAACGTAACTCTTTAACAGTAGCTGAAATCTTGCAAAGGCACAGGATAAATTTAAAGCAATTCTTATAAATTATTAATATCTACTAGGATAAACGATGTACATATTTAAAGGAGCATTTTACATTTAGGATCTTTAACATTTATTGGTTAAGCTAATACCTAAGCCCTAAGCCAAATTCAAATCTATTGAAATAATTCATGAAAATGCAATTTAAATGGACAAAATTAATATAACACTCGGAGAAAATGTGCATCAGCATCGGCATCAGCATCAGCAATACATCGAGCAAAATATATTGAATTCTATTAAAAGATTTTACATACACTTATGAAGCATTTGACAAAGATTTAATCGCTCCTCAGGTGCATCGCATTTATCGCAGCTCAGGATCCAGCTTCTCTAAGGCACAAGACGAGTTCACTACGACGTTCTTTGGAAGCGAGCACGTGCAAAATGCCGCGAGTAACGTTGCAGCCTCGGCCGTCCGCGCCCAAGTTAACAATATGACGCAGCCACGATATTAGTATTGACAGAAGCAGCTAGGAGAGGGATCAGATGAAAGCAAAAAATAACGGCTCCATTCAGGTATATTTAAGAAATATTTATTATGATCGAATAAGGATTTATTTTCAAGCCATTAGCCACAAGAGTTTCGAAAGTACGATATTTATTGAGGATAGTAGTGGGTGTAGTGGTCTTGTTGTTTATTGTAGTGTAATTGCATTTTTATTAAAATGTAGCGATGAATTTTTACATCGAAGTGCCTATGTATTTACGATTGTAATAAATTAAAATAAACGCTTGCCTAGTTTGTATTATATGGATAGATTTGCAATTATTGCATTGAAGGAAGTGGAAAAAAGGGAAGTAAAGTATTATAATAAAATTAGAATAGAATGATAGAGCTAGAATATAATGGTTAGTGATTTTATACCTGACATTTGAATTATGATGTGGTAACTCAGCATTGAAATTTTCTTTATTACAATAATAAATATTCATTCGCCTTCAACTCATAGTAATTAGACTTGGATAATTGAAAATTACAAAGATAAAAGAATGATAGTTGTAAAATTTATTTCTATATTTGTTTCGAGCTTTTATTTACATAATGACATTATACGCGATCATAATTCAATTAAAAATATCTGCGATTTTTCACAATTAGTATGGAATACTTTATTTACATATTCTTATATTACTATTACGATTCTATATCACTTAAGAGTATTAAAACGAACATTTATTTAAATAAAATAATTTTTTTCAGCATATATTTACTTATAAATGTGGTGAGCGCACATAAATAAAAATGTATAAATGTGCGTCAATGTGAAAATACACTCGCAAGATGATAAACTGTTATAAATAAAATGGAATAGATATTTTGTGCGCTGTGATGAAAAGATGTGTCTGTCTGTTGAGACGAGAAAACGTAATGTAAAGAGTTTAAGTTTCATTCGACTACTCTTGTACATTTCAAGCACATTATATATTCTACATAGTTGTAGCGTGTATTTTTCTTCTTTCGTCTTCTCTCCTTTCAATATTTTAAACATTATATGAAATTTCATAAATTATATCAATCATTATATTTATAATTATAATTATTATTATTCTTATTATTTGTAATCAAAGCTTTAAATTATAAAAAATCATGTTTTCTCGTATTACAACAGCATTCCATATTTTGAGTTGTATATACCTTAATATTTAAGACAATAGTGACTCTACTAATTAGAGAAATTCAACATTATTGGGGAATATAGCAGATATTGTAGATCACATAAAATACTGCAGAGCTAGTACAATAATTTATTCTTGATATTTGATTTTTGCTGTTGAATTTACAATTAAAAATTATATTGTAAAAGATTTCTTATAAAATTTATATTAAAATTGTATACTCACCCAACTTACTTTCAATACTTCAAAAAGCTAGAATAAAGTTAAGTGTAATTAGAGCACTAAATCTTTTTTTATCTACAAGAGACCAACAAGGTCATCCAAATTAAGTTTACAGAGTATTTCAGCACCTGTAATAGAGCGAAATATTATATTTTCTTTAATATCTGAATATCTATTGTGTATTATATTTAAAACAATTTTGTTGTATTTACATAAGTCTTACAGTCATTAAAATATTTTCAAAATGTTACAAATATTTAAATATTTTATTTAATTGTTAATTATACGCTTGATTTTTATTTTAACAGTACCTTCGTTCTTATATGTAGATAATGAATCTGTAGGAAATTTGTTATTTTCATTATCCATTTCAATTGATAGATTTATCAATTTTGCAGCGAATATTGCATCCATTACAAGAATTTTCGTTCTATACATAAGTTTTGCATGTGCTTCAGCTAACCTAAAATTATAAGCTTAGCGAATTATTAAATTACATCTTGAAAATGAAATTTTATTTTATACTTTTTATTGTGTGGCGTTATAAATAGACAAATACTAATAATAGTTATTATGTAAATGTAAATTAATATTATTATTTTTTTTGTTTTTGTTTAATTCATAATGACTTAAATATATTTCTTTTATAAAAACAAAATTTAACATTCAAACTATTATAAGTGAAGATTATCGAAGAAATAATTGAGTTTTATTTAATTCAAAAGATATCCAAGTATCAATCATAAAAATGCTCATGGGAAAACTAATTCACTATGATCGTTTATTTGAAAATGCTGCAAATACTTTTAGTTTTAAATTTCGTTAAATATTATTTCAAATTCGTTTTTACTCTTTAAGTCTGTAGCAATATAAATGTAAAGTATTCAAAAACTTTCTTGTTAAATTTGCAAACCTGATTAAACTATCCATTAGACGAACGGTAGTTCGCTCCTGTCGTCTGCCAGATTTTTGTCTGTGATATGAGTACACTGTGCACAAGATTTTCTCAGCTTCCTTTGACATTGATGGTTCAAATGTGTGAATATGTGAAAAATATTCGCACAAAGATTTCTCATCCCATACACCATTTTTTATAGAAGATAAATTGCCTATGGAGTTTCTAAAATGTTTGAATAGTTGAGTTAAAATTATTTAAAATAGTTGTTTCGACATTAAAATATTTAAGCTACTATTTGAAAACTGACTTAATAAATATTATGTTAATATTTATTTTCTCAAATAACCGGCGCGCGTTATAATTAAAATTTTACCATAAGTTAATGATTTACTAAATTTGGGATCGATATCGAATGTTATAAAATCTTATAAAAAATGACATGTGATTATCGTATAATTTTCATTTTTACAATGTATCTTACTACGTTATTGTAAATCTTATTTTATCTTTGAAAATACAATCGATCGATGAATAAAATTCTATTATTTACATTTGTAATTCTACATACTAAAAATACTTGCATTTCTATGTTGGAAGAAGCATCAAAATTATCTTTATACATACTTTCAGACATACTATTATAATCCTGATCTGAAGAATTCCTAAAAGACATTAAAATTTATTATTAAATATTAATAAATAATTATTAATTAATATATTTACTTGACTTCTATAGTTAATTAAATCGAAATTCTAACAAATGTTGTTTATTTTTGTTTGTTTAGAAAGCGATCTATTGAAATTCATTTTATAATTATTGTTATAACTATTGTTCGATTTCAATAAATTTATATAAAAATTGTTTCATTTAGTGACGTCACAGATTAGTTACATTTATAAATATAAATTACTATTAATAGATGAAAATCTATTGTCATACCTTAGCGAAAAACAAAATAGTAATTTTATTCCTGCGCACGCGTGTACGTAATTATAACTTATTACATATAATGCAAATGTATTTAAACTTTGAAAATAAATGATTAATGTTTGTGAATAATTTTTCAGTATACTGTTTATTTTCAATTTATTTTACTTTTCATTAATTTACAATTATTTCGAAACTCTTGTATATACTTACATTTTACTCCGATCATTACCATTAGACATTGCTGTTTGAAGGATATGACTCGAAACCAATTCATCCCATTCTGAAGAGGGATTATCTCTCAGAAAAAGAATAAGATCAAATCTGGAAAGTAATGGGTCACCGAGCCCCATCTTCACTTCTTCACCATCCACAAATCTACCGCCAACTGGATTTATAGCTGCAATGACAGAGCATTTAGATTTAAGTGTACTGATCATACCTGCTTTAGCGATGGATATAGTTTGCTGCTCCATTGCTTCATGGATAGAGGCCATATCGTTGGTGCTCATTGTAGTTAATTCATCGATACAACAAACACCACCATTAGCTGATACCAAAGCCCCAGCTTCCAAATGCCAACCATCTGAATCCTGAAATACGAGTCAAAGTTAAATTTACATTGTTCTTCATTTTATGTATATATATATATATATATACATATATATATATACATACATTTTTTTTTTTTTTTAATATTTTCATCCAAACATTTAAAAATTAATTTATTTATTCATCAATATTTTATAGACCTAAACTGTATAATTTTAATAAAAATCAAAGTTCTAATCAATATGAATTTTTCAAACATTTATATTTATACGATCCGATGTTACTACAAATACATTCATAGGTTGTGCAATATTATTTTACGTAATTCATCAAATATATAAAAAATTGATTGAAAATCAGTTATAACAAGTATAAGGCATATTAATTAAATTTGGTTTTTAAAAATCAATTCTTTAATTTAACGAAAGTAATATAACTGCTTACACATATAAATAAAGTAATTTCAATTAATACATATTTAAAAAGCATAACATATGGAATAATTTAATCAATATTTTATTATATAAAATGAAAATATTAACATTTTAATGTATTTATTTAAATTCGACATTTCATTAATAAATGTTTAAAAATCAAATTTATATAGAAAAAAGAAACTTGCTTTTACAGCTGCGGCTGTAAGGCCAGCAGCAGTACTTCCAATTCCTGTCGTTAGAACGGATCGATTTGATAATTTTGTCGCTGTTTGAAGTATTTGAGATTTGCCAGTACCAGGATCTCCGCACAGTAATAGATGTATGTCACCTCGTATTCTTGTTCCTTTATTAATTATTATTAAAATCAAGCGAAAATTAATTTGTTTGCGTTAGTATTGTTTGCTTGATGCATTGTTTGATTAAATTAACGAATAAACACCTGGTTTCGAAGTTTTTCTTACACCACCAGCCAAAACTAAAGCTAATGCTAATTTCATATAATACATTCCATACAACTGCACAAAATTTAAATAAAAACATACATTAGTATCTTATAAATAGTAGATAATTTTTCGAAAATTTATAGAGAAATTAATTTTACCTGAGGACATATCGATACAAGAATATTGTCTCTACCTTGTAGAGGATTAGCCTCGTAGTTTTTCCAGTAATTGTCAAAAACATTGATTAATTCGTTTTTACAAAATATTGATTCTGTAATTTTTTTTCGGACTATTAGACTATTGGCCATCATGAACGTTGTGCATAGAATACGTTGACCTTCAACAATGTTACCCCATTTTCGAATTAAAAATCCACTATTTATGGAATAATTAGGCATTTAATAAAATTATGTTTCCTAAATTTGTTCAGTATAAGTTACAGTTATCTACGTACTTAATATTGACGTAATCTCCAGTTGTGCATTTATCAACTAAGTCTTCGAGTAAAATTACTTTTTCTGACGCTGACATGATATCATTATGATTTTGAGATTTATCCTGTTATATTATTAAAAATATATTTATTAAAACGAAATGTTTTTAAAATTCTTAAAATTATCTCATAAAACAATTATTAATTTGTGTATTTTGAGTCAATAATTTCAATATATAAAATTTTTCTTTACGCTCAAAATTCAATGAAAATATATGAAGAAAATATTACGTGTAATAATATATACGCGTCTAAATTATTCTTTAAATTTCTAATAATTATTATTGCGACAGGTTTAATGGTTACTATAACTTTCAATAATTTAAATAATTAAATATAAATTTAATTTTACTTGAATTTTGATTTCTTGATAATCTACGCATTCTTGGTCTTGCAATGATGTCTCTGGATGTAAACCTTTTCTTTTACATGCTTCGCACTGCCGGACATTCGGAAATTTACCTGTTTCCCATTGAATCTAAACAAGAATAAAATTATCGACCAAACAAATATAAAATTCATAAAAATATTTATAATATATTATCAGTTTATGTACTTTAATAATATTAATATGTTTACACTTTTTACACAGCAAATGTTTAGCAATAATTGAAATAGATGGTTGTGAAATTCGAACGACAAATCCTGTAATGAAAACGAATTCTCCAATTTCTGCTTGATTTATATCTTCAGGTACACCATGCACTCTCGTTCGAATCTATGGAAATAACATTTATTTGAATCTGTTATAAAGTAGTTATCTCTGTACATAAAATATTTTACTGTAAATTCATTTGATAGTTTAAAACTATTTTATTAAATATATAAGATGAAAAAACTAAAGATAATATGTAAATACTTTTTTCTTCACTATTTGACCTGCTTCGATAAGTTGTTCCTGAACTTCGATGATATTAGAATCAAATAATGCTAAATAATGCCTTGGCTGTTTCAACATATTATTTGCCTTTTCAGGATCATAATCAAAAAGCATAATAAAACTAAAAATAATATATTATTAAATTATTAGAAACACAAGCACGAATAAAATATAATAATTTGAATATATAATTTTTTATCTGTATTAAAGAAGTATAATATATCTTACTCAACGTAGAGGGGATAATATTTAAATTCATCAGGATCCTTAAGCATTTCTTTAAGTTCTTCGGTATGATTTTCAAGAATATATTCTTTAAACATTGTTCTTATGAACAAATTTCAATAAAGAATGGTTCGTCTTTATCCTAAAAACTTTATGTACAATATCTTGAAAATTATTCCATATATTTAAAAAAAAATTTTATATTTATGATATATCTAGAATATATATATTTAATATACATAGAATAATAAAATGAGTTTTGCTTTTAAATCGATTTTTTTCTCTTCAATAATTAAATTCATTTTAAATATAATGTTTATTTACACGGATAATTTTTTGTTTACAACAATAATAATTGTTAAATTATAAAAAACTTTTTTTATAAAAAGTGCATTATCACTATTAATTTCCAGAGATCATTTTAATAATTTTAAATGAAAAGAATTAGAGTAAAAGATTATGTATAAAAATACAGTTGGCCTGTGCAATTCAAAACATGAAATTAATTTTTGGTTTAGATATCCTTATTTATAATTATTAACGTGAGTTTCTAAAAGTAATGTTATAATTCACTATAAATATTAATGTCCATACCAAAATTCGGTCGTTTCACAACGTACGCTAAATTATAAAATAATATTTTTATATTCAATTGAACGTCTTTTTTAAATTTTAAATTCTTGAAGAGTAATTGTTAGATTTATTATTTATATTTGCCATTATAAATATAAATACATACATATGTTGATGTGTATGCAATAAATTTTTAGGGAATTATTATAATTATAATCATTTGTTGGTTTCGAATCACAATAGAAATGAAAATTAACCTTCGAAATTCTACATTTCATGAATTTGAGCGGCGTTCACTCGACCAACGTACACCGACACGCGCGCAGTATAATAATATTATAACCTCAAATATCCAATAAATGTCATAAGCAATTAAAACAACATCACTTGTTGTAAAGCATTAAAAATATACCAATGAAAAACTAAACAATGATAATTATATTTAATCAATAAAACACATCACTGCTATAGTGCTTATTGTGATATAAAATGGAAGATGCATCAGTGAATACATTCGTTAATGTTTCTTGGCGTTTTGGAGGTATTTATAGGTTTAGGTTCTTTAGTTTAATGTTAAGTACAATATTTCACGTTTTAAAAAAATATCAAACAAAAATATTTCACACATTTGATATTTTTTTTACTCTTACGTGTTTTTAAGTACATATGCAAATTATGACAATTTTATATTTGTATTATGAAAGTAATTGGTTAATAATTTTACATTTTACTTCTATTGTTTAATAAAAGATTTTTCTTTTTTTTTTTTACTATTGAGATTTATTATTTTAAATTATTGTAGAAAAACAATGAATAAACAATGAATTTAATAAGAGTCATCAATTGTACATTATATTAAATATTAATAGAGTTTAAGTTCTTTCTTACGAATTATATTATGGATGATGTTGTGTTTCTTAAAACTAGAATTAGAAATTTCGATGTAATTTTTCTTAGTTTTTTAATTATTATGTAATTATTATTTTTTAAAATTTTTGTATAGTTAAAAGTATAAATTATAATAGATTTTCACTATAGTAATATTTAATTAAATTATTTATAAAATAATTGTAATTTATTTTAGTGACTGTTGCTAGTAGTGGAACAGATGAAGTTGGAAAAAATTTCTTACAATTGAAATTTCTTTATAACGAAGATGGCAAGATAAAGTCTATTTTTACAGAAATGAATATAAATCAATTTTATAAGCTTTTACATGACCTAGAAAAAGCAAAAAATACTTTGGATATTAAAATATAATTTTTATAAGGAATACAAATACTTAAATATTTATCATTATACTATATATGTTCAATATTTTATTTTATTAATTAAATATATCCGAAGAGCTATCATAAATTATAATAATATAACTTTTTTCCTTTTAATTTGATAATATTATTTTATTCTAATCAGTCCCATGTAATTTTACTACATAATCATCGATTCAACTATCACAGACTCATAATTATTTACTATTTTTTACTTATTATGTAAAATTTTTCATTTTTATAATATAATACAAGTCAACACTATTTAACTTTTTATACATTTTGAATAAATTTGGTCATAATCAATTACTCTACAATTGATTAGACATCTTTAAGAAACTGCATGATTGTTTATGTCTAATTAATGTACAAAAAAAAAAAAAAAAGAATTATATTGTATAAAAATAAATTATTTTATAAAATATGTGATGTGAATTTACTGTTGGTATTTGTTTTGTTTTCCTAATGATGATTATTTTCCTCTACGGAGTTTGTTTGATTATCTGAAAATAAGAAACAAGTAATTAATATTATATTTAAAACTAATAAACGCTACTATTAAGGATTTCTGTATTGTGTGGATTCCCAATTCATACAATAAATTTTTAATACATACACAGTAGGTAATTTATAAAATTACAATAATATAAATCTTCAATAATAAAAATTTTATACAGTATTTTTATTTGTTAGGATTTCATTATAATTAAGTTACTATTTGTATAAATAAAATTTTCAAAAATATATTTGTTTAATTTCAAGCCAATGCTATGATAAAATTGTTCATTAATAATTTACCATATTCAAATAAAAAAATATAATTATCAAAGTATGAACTATTAATTTTCTCTTATCAAAGATTACATTGACATTTTAATGCAGGGAAATAAAATTTTGTTATTGTAAATAAATAATACTTTTCAATTTAATATAGCTATTTTAAAAGTACTAATTTATGCAAAAGCAAATTGGAGAGGAATACGATGGACGAACAGCGAGTACAAAACTGATCAGATTTTTATTATTTTTTTAACATAATTTTATGTATATAAATTTACAAATTGTTGGCTTGTCTCTCGCTTGTATAGTCGTCCATTAGTATTTCAGTAAGCACTGTAACATTTAGTTCATTAAAATTATCGACAAGCTTTTTTATTTTTATTTTCATAACAACATTCCTTTTTATGCATATAATATCTATTTTCAGTTGACATATTTTATATACTTTAATAGATAAGGCTTTCTTTCATTCAATTAAACAGTGTTTATAAACTTTTTACAAATATAAAAATTAAGTGTTGCCTGTAATTAAACAAAAATGATCGAAATTTACGTTTATTCGATAACTTCAAAAGTATTTCTCACGACACACCATCGACATTGTTTTATGCAATCAAAGCTTATATAAATGAATGTAAAAAAAAAAAAACGTCAAATACTATTGTACAAGAAAAATTGTACATGACAAATTATGCATTTATATTGTCATTGGCATCAATTTGTGTCAGAATGTTACCGTGTAATGAATACTGACGATTTTACAATATTTGTAACACATAAAATTGCAAAACAAACATACATCTAAATTAATGTAATGCAAAAAGTCCCTTTATATTAAATAAAAATCATTTTTCAGCAAATAGAATTTATACTTTCAGTCAAAAATATTAATTCCTGTTTGAAATTCTAAAAACAAGAATTATATAAATATATGGTTATATTCATTAATTTTAATTTTTTAAATCTAAGTATTTTACATTTATTTTCAATATACAAAAGATAGTACTAAATTTTTGTTGATTTATACTCTTGATTGTTAAAATTTTAATATGAATATAATTATATAAAACTAATAAATTTGATAAAAAATGAAATTATTACATAATAATGCTTGATCAGAGTTAGAACCACTTTGCATTTACTGAAACAATGACTGACAAGTAAATATTAACAAAATAAATAATGAAATATTTTAAATGTTATGAAAACAAAGAAACAGTAAACACACTAGATTGGAATTTCTTAGATCTCACTCTAGAATTAATATAAATAAATTAAAAAAACAAATTAATAGTTTTGTCGGATACATAGTAGTCAAATTTTTCATCAAAATTTTTTTATAATTATATGCGTTGTATAATTTTTTTTATGCCATTTAGGAAATAAAAAATCAAAATTCAGTCCATATTCAGTTATGCTAGACATAATCTCACGCCTACAATAAGTAACGAAAAGAACCTTGATTAAAAGAAAAATGGTATGATTTACTCAACATTTCGTTTTACCGACACTTCAATTTTCATTAATTTTTCAAAGCAATTCAACCCGACTAATATCTTAAATTTAACTAATATTTTAATTAAACTGTAAAACAAGGGACAAGACTGTTATTATAATTTTATTCGTTTTAAATTTTAATTTAGCACAAACTCAAAAGAGTTTGTTGAGACTTCATTCCCAATATTAACACTTTAATAATCTCTTATTAATTCTTACTATTAATAATATTCAGAACATTTATAAATATTACATTTATTAATCATATGGAAACTGAAATTATCTTTAAAAGTCAGCATTGTGAAAATATACATTTATTTCATACTCTTAGTTCCTTTTTACTAATTGCTTCATTAATTTTGTTCTATAAATGTAAATAATATTGTATAAATTTTTGTACACTATAAATATTGTAATTACGAGATCAAATTATTTTCTAAAAACTTTTCTATATTATAGTCGATCTATTGGCTAAAGTATTCGAGAAGAACTATTAGTATTGAAAAGGTACGTAGCGGAAATAATCGTAAATATATATTATAATTAACGTTGACAGCAGCAGCAACAGCAACAGCAGCAGCGGCAGCAGGAGCAATAATAAGTCGTAATGACAGGGATGCTAGTAGTAACAGTGTAGTGATGTAGATAGTGAGGCTGATGGCGATGGTGGTCGTGATGGTGATGGTGATGGTGAGGGTGACGGTGATGGTGATGGTGAGGGTGACGGTGATGGTGATGGCAGCAGTGATAGAGTATTAACAGTTGTAATAGTATAATAAAAAAAAGTAGAGGTAGTGAAGAAGTGTCAGTAAAATTCGTGCATCTGTATATACAAGTTGGAGCATACGCTTGTGTGAAAGAAGTTGGTCATGTGAAAGCCCGGGTGTTTTGGCGTGCGAAGTACATGATGTTTTTTACGCCTACTCGGTAGAAAGAACGGACGCGCTACTTCACCCCTTTGATTATTCGGCTCCAATAGCGTGAGGGCGTTGTTGTTGTTGTTGTTGTTGTTGTTATTGTTGTTATTGTTGCTACTGCTGTTGTATTTATTGTTGACGTTCTGCTGCTGATGATGTTGCTGTTGATCGTGTTGGCGAGGGTGGTGATGATGCTGTCGATGGAGGTTGTCGTTGTTATTGTTGTTGACGCTGCTGCTGTTTTTGTTTTTGTTGTTGTTGTTGTTATTGTTGTTGTTGTTGTTGGTGGTATTGTTGTTGCTACTGCGTTGATTGCTGTCGACGTTGTTTTCGCTAATTACGCAGGTGGCTTTCCCGTTTGATAAGAGATCCGGAACTTTGTCCAGTGGTGACGAGGGTCTCGACCCTGGTTGATGCTTCTGTGACTTTTGACCGCGTTCGGCCTTCGATTGTATAGACTCGAGGACGGGAAGTATAGCGCCAAGGAGGGGTCGCCGCGACGGTTCACCCGCCCAACACTGCTCCATCAAATTCCAACATTCGTCGTCGAAGATCGCGAGCCGCTCTGGCCTTATGCCTGCAAAAGTTGATCAATTTATACATTTTGATTGGGCACATAATGGACAAACGTTTCTCGAATATTTTTCAAATATTTCCCTAAACGCGTGTACCTTTTCTGACGCTCGTCCACAGTTGTTCCTTGTTATGAAATTGCTCAAAAGCGTAGGGTAGCCTGACGTGTCCAGCGCATATGTACCAAAACAGTATGCCAAAGGCATAAACGTCGACGCTACTGTCGTAATGTCCGGACAAGAGTTCTGGAGCCATGTGAACCGGCGTTCCGACGATACTACCCGACATCATTGCCTCGGTTATACAGAATCCCAAGTCTGTCAGTTTCGCTCGATTCTGCGTATCTAAGAGGACGTTCTTCAACTTTATATCTCTGTGCACGAGTCCCTACAAAAATATAATCTCTATTAAGTTATCATTGTATTGCATTATACCGTGATGTAAGCATGTCGTGTGCTTGCGTAAAAATTGCTTAATAATGTAAGCGCAAAACGGACACATTCGATGATTTAGTAGTTTTATAAATTAGTATTGAGTAATAATATAATCGGATCGAAGTTTAAGCAGTGAGTGGATTAACCTCTTATGAACATTTTTGAGAAAAATGCTGCAACTGTTTTTTATTGCAAAATTTGCTCTGATTAAATTTACAATGCTATATGAATAAATTAGCAGAGGATATAAAAAATATTATTTATCGTTACTTAAATAATCTGAATTATGAATTATGAAATTGTATTTCTCGTGCATCGATGTCTTGTAATTTTAGTTTCGTCATAATTTAAACGTACAAAGTAGCGACATTAGCGAGCAATGGCGATACGAATATTACGAGTGTATAAAGAAATTCGATAAAACTATAACCAATTGTTTACACAACAATTGGTACCCGTTGTAAATATTTTGTATTTTTGCCTAATTATATTTGACTAGACTCGACGGGAAGAATAATAAATAATACAGGCTATCTGCAACGCTAAAATACGCATTAAATTAAAATTAGCATTAAAATAAGCGAGATTAAACATTAATTTGCAGTTTTCTATGCATATTTTAGGCATAGTTTACGCTTCCTAACACGAAGGCATAAGTGAGAGGCTAGAATTAGCCGAGACATCGCCAAAGACGTGTAGAGAACGAGATGATGATGATGATGATGATGATGAGGAGGAGGAGGAGGAGGAGGAGGAGGAGAAGGAGGGGCGGCTACGAAGAACGTACTTGGGAGTGAAGATATCGGATGCCCTCGAGCACGTCGATAGCGATCTGGATGCGCTCGAGCCAAGCTAATCCTGACCGAATACCACAGTAGAGGTCTCTACTCATTCTATCTGTGATAAGGAGCACGGCCGCTCCCATGCCGTAGGCGCCCCCGTAGGTGTGATCAATCACCGAGCCCCGGAGCTTGACGATCCTCTTGTGGTCGGGTATCGAGCGCGTGTAGTAAAACTCCATCGCGAGATCGTTCCAATGCTTCTCGTCGGGCGGTACGACCGACTTAACTGCGCAAGCACCCAGTGCACCGCCCCAGCCGTCGCAAGCGAACACCACGCCGTACTGACCACGGCCAATCTCTTTTCCCTGGTGCGGGATGCCAAATCGAACCTGAAAGTTTTTGCATTGAAAATCGATTTGAAATTCCGGACCAGACCCAATGAGAACGAGAAGCGGAAAATTACAATTTTTATCTCCCTTCTTGTTACCCATGGCTTGCAATGTTCTTCTTATCTACTAATCCCTTCTTAACACTCCATTTAACCAACGCGCGATAAAATATTATTTACACATCATTCTTATCGCAATTCACAAGAAAAGTCCGAAAGTCCTCACCATGTCGCTCATGGAGGTCGACTCAAGGGCCAGCTTGGCTAGCCTCGGGGCATGGTATTTTCTGATGGCTATTCTCTGCTCCTCGGTCCTTTCCAGCTTACCCGAATAGTGATTCTCGAGGGATCTGAGGGCCGACTGAAAGGTTTCGTGGGAAGTCTTGACCTTATCTCGGAACTGCGTGGAAATGGTGCGAGCGAGTCGCGCGGCGCTCAAGGATTGAAGTACATCGACGGCGGCCTTCCGCCTCCACGAAGCGTTGAGTACGGGGGTCGGTGCCCAGGGTAGAGGCAACGATTTGAACAGTTGGCGCATACGCTCGAGGAACGAGTGCACCAACGACGGTGAGGAGTTCTGCAACTCCACGTTGTAAGCCGCTGAGAGTATTTGCTTCAGAGCATCGCTGGCTGTGAAATTCAAAAATAATGAGGAGGATTGATTTAATTTGGTCGTAAATTTCTTTTTATTTGTTAGTTGCGTGCGCACATTGATCGAGAGACACTATTCGTTAATATTCGCTATCAAGCTCTGATTAAAATCGCATAATTATTAATTTCGCACAAGATATTGTGAAAATTGGAAACTTTATTTTTTAAAAGTGACACACGCGTTGATAAAATCACACGTATATAATCGATAATGAAACGTATGAAAATAATTAATATTAGACTATTGCATATAAGAAAATTTATTCATAAATTAACGAGTGATGTTGCTTGTAATAAAATTTTTTTAATTTCAAACGCCTCATAATTGTATAATGATTATAATTATATGCGAGGGCGATTAATTCGAACAATTATTAAGTATTGCAAATTACCCGTAAGGCTCGCATCGTGTTCGTAACTTTTTTCTAAACTGAGTAGACATCGTTGTAAGGTGCCTACAAATGTATCCCTTAAACAATTAACGGACGTCGCCAGTTGCTTGGCCACTCGTTCTCCCAATCTGGTTAGAACGAGCCTCTGCACCTCCGTTGTCGCTACCCTCACAGTGGCTGACCATTTGCCTCTTTCCTCGTCGTCATCGATTGGTATGTTATGATAGAGATTCAAATGATCAGGAGCCAGACAAATTTCATCCTTCATCTCCTGAATGATCTTGTGAATGAGCTCGGTGAGTTCTTCTTGTTTAGCATTCACCACCTTCATGAGATTAGCATAAAGCTCGACCTCTTTCTGCTGAGCGTATTGTATTCGTTTGGGAGTAATTTGAATTTCTCGCGCCATATCGAATGCACTAAGAATGAATTTGCGTAGGCTGGTCGTATGAACATCATTTAAATGATTACTCACATTTACGAGATAAGTCTGTAAGCAGCTGCGTACAAAGTACAAGATTCGATCTGAAAGAATGTCACGGTTAGTTATTTAATTCTTTAATGACATGGATTTTTTTGCTAATTAGTTTGTAATTAACATTAATGAGGAATAAATTTCAGTATTTCACAAATTTCGAAGGAACGAACAAATTCTTGGTGTAAATTGTAATTCCCTCGATTATTTGTTGACAAAAAGTTAATTTTCAATTTAGACTTAACGATCTTCGTTATTAATGGAGCCTCATGCCATGCTAAGCCATGACAAGATGACTCAAAAAATATATTTCTTCACATGGAAAAACATTTACAAAATAAAATAATATATTACAGGCTTATTGAAAGGCGTTAATTCATAGTTAATTAATAATTTTTACCTAAGTTTTTCCGTGAATCTAGCAGATTAATAGACCGAGAGTAGTTTTCATGCGTTAGCCACAAGCTTTGGTCTATTTCGATGGATTCACCTATGAAGCCTAAATCTGTAAGCTGATGGAACCATGTTAAGCCGAGCAAATTAATCTTCTCTAGATTTAGCCCATTGTCAATATTACTTGTGGAATTTAGTTTTATACAGTTTAACTTCACGGAGTCATCCTGTGCGGAAGTCAATTTTATGGAATCCTCCTTTGCGGAGGTTGATTCGCACGATTCAGTTTTACTTTGTAGTCCATGTTCTGACTTTATTAGATTTTCGTCTAAGCAGTCAAAGGTTATGTGAGTTGACGTAGAAACAAATAGAACTGGATTATAGGGGTAGCTGTCTTTCAAATTCCTCAGTTCTTCCATATTTTCATTGGATAAAGGGTGTTCATCCAGAGCATAGAGGAATACAGGAATAATTTTAAATACTCCCTTAGCCAGAGTCTGTACGGCTCCTAAAAATTTATACCAATGAATCTTTTCCTAACGAAGCTTTATTTCTAGTGTATATTACGATAGTTTGACAATGATAACAATATATTTTATTATTTTTTAAAATATTTTATGTCCCAACATTCTTGAAATTTTTCTGCATTTTATTTTTTTTCTTTCATGAATTTCAATCATAAATAATAGAAAATATTAATGATTTAATTTTTTTATATTAATTTATGAGTTAATTGTAAGAAAATATGTTACTTGAAAAATAATAAATTTAATTAATTTATTATTATAATTTTACTTTATAGACAGATTAATTCATTTTAGACGAATGTCTTGAGTATACTTTACATATTAATAAATTTCAAACAAATTAAACAAATTATATTTTCGAAAATTTAACCGACCTGAATCAGGAACGACAAATATTTGAACTCCATCTTTCAGTGCTGGTTGATTTAACTTTACTTCAAGCACAGTGGGACAGTTAGGATCTACGCTTCCAGATTCTATTAAGTCTTGAGAAGGAATAGTTACCCATGGCTTTTCATTTGCTAACAAATTTTCTACTACTTCGTATTCAAGACCAAGAGTGAGATTCACATGATTAGTGGATCCACAACCAATTTTTATCCAGCGCCATTGCCCCGTACATAATGGGAGGACATCAGTTGATAGTAAATTATTGACTAGCGATGCTTTTGCTTTGGTATTTTGCCCAAATATGACTATGGCAGGACAATTTTCAAGAACGTATGTAATTTTATTATAAATTAATGGCGATAATAAGGCATCAATAATATTTTCTGTAAGAAAGGTAAATGTAAATAACGATTAAAATTGATAGATTAATAAGATAACAAAGATTCATTTAAGTATACAGATTTTAAATATTCACAAATAGCTATTGTTTATTAATTATAAATAATGGTAAATATGAATTATAATATAATTTATAAAATTGGATAATATATATATATATATATATATATATATATATATATATATAATTATTTAAAGATTCATTAATGAATGATTTTTATACTATATTAGCCTTAAGAAGAAAAGAAGTGCAAGGAATTTATCAGAACTCATATATAATCATTATCAAAGTCTAATAATAGTTTTAAGACAAGTGTGTGCTCAATTGAGAATCGCGTCTTTGACATGTCTTTCCCCTCGGTAAAATATTCCATTGAATCAATAAACTTGCTATAATTAATATTGACATCAAGGGTAAAAATTATTTTTTAATTAGCATTATTAAATAACATACCTCCAGGAAAGAAATTTTCGAGATTTATAATCTCGAGAACACGTTGAGTTTCCTTAAAAATATGCCTTAATTGATTTCTATTACGATTATATCTCCTGAACTCTTGCGGTAATTTGCTTACCATTTTAATTGCCTATTATGATATAAATATGTGTAAGCGTTTTTCATAACCTAAAACATACAACAATACTTAATTCTCTGATATTGAAGATGAATAATCACATTTTATAGTTAATTGGAGCATCTATATATTCGTAAAATTAAAATTGAATCGATGTTAATGAAAGAGCGACTGATTTGATATTGAATATTTTATCATAAATCGATTTACAATATAATTATCATACATATATATTAGATATTTTTAATTGAAATTGTTAATAATAATGGAAAAATTCTACATAGAAATAATTTCCAATTAAAAAAATAGTAAAATTTCATTTAAAAGTTAAAACTTTATAAATTTACGCATAGTACATGAGGTTATGTACAAATAACAATAAATTTATATAAGAATTTGATTATTGCAAACAATTGAAGTAATTTAATAATTTAATAATTCAAACAATATTGACACTATATATAACGATGATTTTTTAATTTATAAAATTCAACAGTACTTTCAACATTTTTATATGGATTAATTTCACATTTACAATTATTTTTAAATATATTTGTTCGTAATGAATAATTGTATAGAAAATTTATATAAATTTCTTAAAAACTATTACATCCAATTATATATTTTGATAAATGTAGACGAACCGAGTTAATATCAATTAATTTTTCTTATAATCTTAGAATCTTATAATTAAATATACAATTATACGACTTACATCATTCCTCTTATTTATATAAAACTTTGATAAATCCACATTCTAAGTAAAATAAAATGATAAACTTAAAATACAAAAATACACTAAGACATTATGCACTATCGTGGACTCAATTCTCAATTTGTTAAATTTAGCATTACACATAGATTGTTATTAAATATATTTGGTAGAAAATTAATTTTCTTGCTCTTTCGACAAATGTAAATATTTATTGAATGTAATATTTGAAAATTTAAAAGCCAAAAACATTAAATCTCGATCGATCTACTTTCACAATTGTCCAATTCGTAATCCACACAATACAAATTCTTAATATATCTAAGCATTTTCAATTACTTTTCATTATGATTTACGTTTTATCGGTACCTACAAAATTACAAATAGAATTCTGATAAAGAATAGCGTTTGAGGGGGTACTCAACTTACCGTAAAAAATTAAAAATGTGTTCTCACTTCTGTTAAAGGTTAAGTGACGGAGTAGTTCCAAAAAAATAAATGGCAGTAGCGCAGACTCTTCTTTTCCATTTACGAAATGCTTACGCATTAAAATCTTTTAATCAGAAACCCAAGATGATAACAAATAAAAAACTTGAAGAAATCATACTTGTGCGTGCGACGAGATAGAAAAAAAACCTATAGAGTGCTCCTGTCTCCTCTTCTCGCTGGCACTCACTGCAGTGTTAAATGAATTTATTTGACGCATTCTATACGAGTGTTTTTTATGTATATTCCATGTACATAATACAGATTATGGAAATCTCAGTGACGTTACGGACTACGAACTCGGTTTAGTCGTTGTGCACGTCGCTGTTTTGTATTATTGCACGACCTACGAGTTATACTACTGGAACATGTAATTTCTCAAACTTTTGGTTTTTATCTTTCATTATTTTTACTGTACATGTCATATGCATATGCGCATATAAACATATATATATATATATATATATATATATATATATATATATATGTGTGAGAAAAATAAGACTTAAGAGAG